CACACACACACACACACACACACACACACACACACAGACACAGACACACACACATGCCTGCTCACATCAAAGAGAATAAACATTAATGGCAAATAGGTAATCTGCTCTTCTTGTCTGTTTTACATTTCGGGGCAAGATTGAGTGCCTCTGGGGGACCTGGCCCTTCTCTGATTGAGGACAGGAAGAAAAAAAAGAACGAGAGAACGAGAGGGGAAGAAGGAGGAAGCAACGGTAGATGGTAAACACATGATAAAGCATTATTCTTATTTCATGTATCCCTTTATTTTTTATTTATACATGAGAGATGGAAAAGAAGGTAATAATACCCCCATCCCTTCAACCCACAACTGCCCCACTATGGTCCTAATCTTCTCCCCTGCAATATTCCGATGCCGACGTTATTATTCTCCTTTCTTCTGAATAATATCCCTCTCTCGGAGGATCTGTTCTCTCTGCCGGTGCTCGCTTTTGTCCCTCTCCTCTTCATTTTTCCTCCTTCAGGATCTCTCGGTCCTCTCCCTCCACGGCACTAACTCAACCTATTCTCGCCACACTTTTCCATTCTCCTCCAACTTCTTGTCTCTCCGGTCGGCGCGCACTCGGGCCTCTTCTCGCTTCTCTCGTTCATATTCTGAAGGGGGCGCCAGGTTGGCGTGGCTGGGGGTGGCAGGCAGCACCTCATATCCTATCTACGTATCAATCATGAGGTCTGTCCACCCAATGCTCCTCTGATCCATCAGCCAGCCTCTCAGCCAGCCTCATCCCAACACACACACACACACACACACACACACACACACACACACACACACACCTGACTAATGGCAGTCAGGGCACCTGTGCACACCAACCTGCTCTCATTCCACACAATGGATGCAGAATGTGCAGTATCCCACAACCAAGGGCTGTAATACTACAGCCGGTCGTAGTACTGCAGAAAATACTTGAAATACTGAATATTCACATGGTCTTAATTAGTCCCATTTAGGGCATCAACGAACAATTGTCTTTGTTATCAATTCATCTGACGGTTATTTTCTTGATAAACAGATTATTCATTTGTTCTATAAAATGCCAGAAAATAGTGAAAAAGATTCCTTTCCCAGGCTGGCTCTTCAAATATCATTTTATTACAAATGATAACCAGTTTACTCTCAAACAACACAAAGAAAAGAAGCAAATGCTCACATTTAAGAAGCTGGAACTACAGAGAAAAGTCGTCTGTCTTGGTTTAAATAAATGACTAAAACAATTAATCGATTATCAAAACCGATTTATTTTTTTGTTGCCGATTGACAAAGCAATTAGCCAACTAATCATGTCAACTCTAGTGCCCTTTTGTTACATTACACAATCAAATTTGAACTGGATTGTTCTAAAAGAAGCACACATGTGGCCACCGCCGACAAACTTTTGCAGACACAAATTGCAGCTGCCATCACACAAACGCATAAATTCATCATCAATGCCATCATTTTTTGCACATCCCCACCTCCAACACCGCCTCCACCTCGTAACACCCAGACCACGCACACTCCCACCAGCAACCAGCCCAACCCACCTGCTCCTCGCTCACCGCTAAGCCGATTACACAACGCAGCCCTCCTAATCACAGCGCGGCGTTTGTAAACATCGATGTCATCGACTGTAGTTCTAAATCTCCCAAATCCCCTCCACCCTTCATCTCACACCACACCAGTAATGACATTATTTCGACTGATGTTTTAATCACCGGTGCCGCTGTGACTGACTGCTGCCGAGAAAAGGGAGAAAAATGTGTGAAAACTGTTCGGAAAAAGTCCATAAACAGTTTCAGCTCAGAGTGCAAAAAAATGAAATTTGCCGCTTGTTCCGATGCCACAGAATGTCCGGCGACCATTAGGGTGGAGAGTGCATGTGTGGAGTCTTTATACGGCACCATCGACCACTCTTATGTCAAAACAACTGTGTTGGATCATCCATTCATCCCGACACCTCTGTAATGAAGATATTAAAACTCTTTTTCCTTTGTGATTAAAATGATCTCTGCTCTCCCCCACAGCCATACACAAGTAAACAAAGGGCCCCGCTCGCGCATATATTATGACGACCTTTCTTCAATTGTGCGTCTGTGCATGTTTTTATGTGTGTGCGACAATGAGTGTGTGTGTGTGTGTGTCTGTGTGTGCGAGGGATTTAAAAACAGCACAGTTTACTGGTTCATTAGCACCAGATTAGCTATGCTAATGACATGGACCACCACACACAGAGACGTTGCCTTTATGTTTCTGAAAGGGATACAACACTCACTATGACTGTGCGTGCGTGTGTGTGTGTGTGAGAGAAGTGTGGTGCAGGTGTGTACACATTAGTCTTGCATGAATAAGTTAGTCCCTTGCTAAAAAAAAAAAGAATACACCAATAATAATCATAATTTAACAGGGTGTGTATGGGTAATGATGTTTTAATAGCATTGATGAGTGAAAAGAGAGCTGCTGCCAGAAGAGACTTGCAAGGGACTGAACTGGTGTTGCAATTTGACCTGCTGCTTCTGCGAGTGTTTTTCATTGTGACTCACAAAGCAGATAGACAGTCGGGACAAACTGAGACACGACACGCACGCAACGCACTAATCCAGACCTAAGACGCAAGTTTCCATGTGGCTCTATCTGATGACACAAGACATAAATAGGAAACTATGTGTTTGTTAACACTGAGGTAAACTTGCTAAAGGCGGGGTTTTTTTTTTTTTTTAATAAGAAACGTCTGCAAAGGCATTCCACGTACTGATCTGTAATACAAACACCCAAAGAACTTCAAGAGGATTTTCTTTTGTCATTACTAAATGATGTAGCAATTACTCATCACTCCTTCTCTTCACGTAATATATACTTTGCTTCAGTGCAGATTAAACATATTACATTTCAGCTTATTTTCATCTCCCATTTTGTTTTGTTTTTAAAATCCTATTTTTTTTATATATACACACAGTTGTGTGAAAAAGTGTTTGCCCCCTTCCTGATTTCTTGTTTTTTTTGCATGTTTTTCACACTTAAATGTTTCAGATCATCAAACAAATTTAAATATTAGACAAAGATAACACAAGTAAACACAAAATGCAGTTTTTAAATGAAGGTTTTTATTATTAAGGGGGAAAAAAATCCAAACCTACATGGCCCTGTGTGAAAAAGTGATTGCCCCCCCCCTGTTAAAACATAAATTAACTGTGGTTTATCACATCTTTGGAAAGCTGAGTTCAATTTCTCTAGCCACACCCAGGCCTGATTACTGCCACACCTGTTCTCAATCAAGAAATCACTTAAATAGGACCTGCCTGACAAAGTGAGGTAGACCAAAAGATCCTCAAAAGCTAGACATCATGCTGCGATCCAAAGAAATTCAGGAACAAATGAGAAACAAAGTAATTGAGATCTATCAGTCTGGAAAAGGTTACAAAGCCATTTCTAAAGCTTTGGGACTCCAGCGAACCACAGTGAGAGCCATTATCCACAAATGGCGAAAACATGGAACAGTGGTGAACCTTCCCAGGAGTGGCCGGCCGACCAAAATTACCCCAAGAGCGCAGCGACGACTCATCCAAGAGGTCAGAAAAGACCCCAGAACAACATCCAAAGAACTGCAGGCCTCACTTGCCTCAATTAAGGTCAGTGTTCATGACTCCACCATAAGAAAGAGACTGGGCAAAAATGGCCTGCATGGCAGAGTTCCAAGACGAAAACCACTGCTGAGCAAAAAGAACATAAAGGCTCGTCTCAGTTTTGCCAGAAAACATCTTGATGATCCCCAAGACTTTTGGGAAGATACTCTGTGGACTGACGAGACAAAAGTTGAACTTTTTGGAAGGTGTATGTCCCATTACATCTGGCGTAAAAGTAACACGGCATTTCAGAAAAGGAACATCATACCAACAGTAAAATATGGTGGTGGTAGTGTGATGGTCTGGGGCTGTTTTGCTGCTTCAGGACCTGGAAGACTTGCTGTGGAAAATGGAACCATGAATTCTGCTGTCTACCAAAAAATCCTGAAGGAGAATGTCCGGCCATCTGTTCGTGACCTCAAGCTGAAGCACACTTGGGTTCTGCAGCAGGACAATGATCCAAAACACACCAGCAAGTCCACCTCTGAATGGCTTAAGAAAAACAAAATGAAGACTTTGGAGTGGCCTAGTCAAATTCCCGACCTGAATCCGATTGAGATGCTGTGGCATGACCTTAAAAAGGCGGTTCATGCTCGAAAACCCTCCAATATGGCTGAATTACGACAATTCTGCAAAGATGAGTGGGCCAAAATTCCTCTACAGCGCTGTAAAAGACTCATTGCCAGTTATCGCAAATGCTTGATTGCAGTTGTTGCTGCTAAGGGTGGCCCAACCAGTTATTAGGTTTAGGGGGCAATCACTTTTTCACACAGGGCCATGTAGGTTTGGATTTTTTTTCCCCCTTAATAATAAAAACCTTCATTTAAAAACTGCATTTTGTGTTTACTTGTGTTATCTTTGTCTAATATTTAAATTTGTTTGATGATCTGAAACATTTAAGTGTGACAAACATGCAAAAAAATAAGGAAGGGGGCAAACACTTTTTCACACAACTGTGTGTGTGTATATATATATATATATATATATATATATATATATATATATATGCTTCTTTTATATCTTTCCTTAATGCCTTTCTATCTCACTTGAAGCACTTTCATCACGTACACAAGTGCTGTACAAATAAATTTGCCTTTGTTAAAAATACTTTTAAATGTGTATTCAGAAAGTATTACTATTATTTATATGACTATTAATAATATAATTCTGAGGCAAAGACTATGTTGCAGGAACTTAAGATTAATCCAAACAAGTAAAATTCCAATAATTTGGGCTCTATTGTTAGATTTAGAAACAATATGAATTATGAAATAGTCACAAGAAAAAAAGACCAAAGCGTCAAAATTGAAATTAAAGTGTGTGTGTGTGTGTGTGTGTGTGTTTGTGTGTGTTCGTGTGTTACCTCCTGTCTCGGCTGCGTGACCTGTGTGAGCGGTGGCTCCTCCCCTTGTCTCTCTCTGCGCTGCGACTCCTCCTCCTGCGAGACGAACTGTGGGACGAGCTGCTGCTGGAACGTCTCCTTCTCCTGGAGCACAAACATACACATTCAATTATATTATTGGCAGGACCCTTTAAACAAAACATAACTGAAGACGGCAAGCTTGAGGACTATTTAATCACTTTGGGATTTTGGCAAATCGAACAGTGAAATATGTGAATTTGTTTTGAATGCTCGGTGTGGTTCGTGAAGAAAATGTGGTTCCCGGAATCGCTCCAGAATATACATTTGTTATTACTAATCATGGTCATTCAGCTTCATTTTGTAGTGTTTCACAGGTTACTATCGATAAACCAAAATCAAACACTTCTAACATCAGCTCCCTCCTCACTTCCCCCTTAGGCTCCACCCAGCCATGACAAGAACCATTCCTATTATTGTGTGTGTTCGTTCACCATCATCTGAAATCATTCCCTCTCCTGCGTAAGTGAAGGCTGTATTCCTAATTTGTTTTGCTGTTCATTTCAACAGCAAATATGTCCGAGTGTCCCAGACAACCTTACCCGTTACGAGCAGCGCTGACGGCCACTTTGCATTAGTGAACACGCTCGGCTACGGCCCTGCAGTTCCTCCGCAGGGGCCCTTTGGTGCTCTCCTGCTCTTTAATGTGGCTACAGCAGTGTGTGCAGCATCTATTTTACAAACACCACTCACACCGCGTGCCTATTGATATCATGTAGCAGGAGGCATTCATGGGGGTGAATGTAAATGCAGAGACCCCCCCCCCTCTTCTACTGCGCAAACAGTTTGAGCAATATTCATTATTTAAAACCTCTTCTTTCTTTCGCCACAGCTGAAATATACCCAAATCTTTTAGCGCGCAGACAAAAAAAACCCCACATAGACTGTGCCATGGGAGCTCTGCAAGATAGAAGAGAGGCAAAAGCAGAGCAATTCAAATAACACAGAGGCTGAACTATCAAACCAGAGTTGTACCACTTAGAGCAGCTCAGTAAAAGATCCATTAGTATTCCAAAGGCTGGATCCCATGAGCGGGGCCTTATGAAACAACTTCCACTACCACCACTTCACACATTACACAGAAGAAACACACAGTAGCGAGCTGAGGGGGGGGGTTTTTTGGACGGCGGTGTTAACTCACATATTTTCTCAGAAGCAAATGTAACGTAATAAAAACATAATGGCTCAAACACATGGGAGCAGGAAGCGCCGGTTAACACAGAGTCCTTTCACATGAATACAACACCTACCTTGGATTGTTGGATTTCACGTCTCTTGCTCACTCACACACACTCATGATGTCACCAACCTAGAGCATAAGCACTCTTCGGTTTTTACCACATGTTAGGTCTCTTTACACTGTATGCATGTATGCAGGTTGAAAATGCCACAGGATGCGTGTCGTCTTTCATGTGAGCCTATTTGTGGAACTAGTTTCATGCAAACGCGCACACACACACACACACACAATGTCTTGGCTAATTGATCGAACTGTATGGCTAATAGATGAGGGACTGTGGTCCCGGGGTTTGCACTGCCCACCAGGCCCCATCCCGTACAGACGGGCAATGACTTCCAATCAGCAGTAATGGACCTTGACCAAGCCTCATAAATAATTACCATCAACTGGCCTTGTCTGAGCAGCCACACACAGCCAGTGGCAGCTGTGGATGGATGGAGGATGCCAGGTCCAGCCACTAGCCACTTGTAAAGATGTCTGATTATCACTGAACCTCCTCCTTCCTCTGAGACTGCTCGATAACATAAGTGTGGCATTTTTGAAACACGAGTAGAAACTCAGTTTGTTTATTACGGAGAATAGACACAAAAATGAGCCATTTGAAAACAGCCATATTTGTTTAATCTCTAAAATGACATTTAGCTAAAACACAAAAGTAAAAGCGCTGGTTTCACTTGTTATAATAGCGATCGTACATGTTTCTTTTTGTGGAATAATATGACCAACCAAAACCGTGTAGGCTCAAGATTTGACTGTTACTTTTCATATCTAGGTTCTCTTAGCAAAGTCCTTAACAGGCACTCATTGTAAACAGTACAGCGTCCGTCACTGCATGTCCAGCGTTTCAGCTGAATCATTATCGACAATAACAATTCCATCTTCAATTATCCTGAGCAAAAAACCAAACTAATATCAATACCGGACAGCATTCCAACGTACACCACATTGAAAGCTGGAAAACAACTGTCCCCCTTTACCTACATGGGTTTACTCTTAGGATTCACAAGTCTGTTTTTGAAGCTATAGCAAAACAACACCCATCTTTTTGCCATCTGAAAACAGTCGCGTACATGCCAATTCCACACAAAGCCAGAATGTTATTGACTGTAAAGCTATTAGATCTGCACTCATAATGTGCTTTAAAATTGATAAACGCTACAAAAATGGTGCGAACTCAACTAGAACTGGGTTTTTGCTTATACATCAGACTCAGACTGTGGCAACAAAGTACGAGGGTTAGTCTTTACATGTTAGCCTCTAATGAGCTGTAAAATGAAAGCAAGCCGCATGTCATATAATAAGCCAACAAACTAAGTTTTCGATCTTTGATTCACTTGTGCACACACAGAGGAGATGAGCCATCGAAGTCAGGGGCTGGGCTGCTGGGGAACTTGCAGCATCAGCACCAAAGCAGCCCTGAAGATGAGAACATGTCTTGCTCAAGGACACTTCAGCAGACCTGCGCACTCTCACCTCCTGTCTTTGTCCTTGTCTCTGGAGCGAGAACGGCTCCGGCGACTGGTCCTCCGACTCCGGCTGGTGACCACCTTGCTGTTGGTGGATGAAGACGAAGAGGAAGAGGAGGACGACCGGCGACGCTGTTTTTTCTTCTTCCTGCTCCGACTGTCATCCTCACTATCAGAAGAGCGGCGACCCATAATGGCTGACTTTCAGCTGGCACGAAACACACACACACACACACACACACACACACACACACACACAACAGTGGTGTTACTGATGAGCTCTCTGGCATCTTTTAGCAACACTTTGATCCAAGACTAAACCTACAGTATCCACAATAATACCAAATGTTTGATTAATGTAGCTACTTTAACCAGGGGTGTAGTAATGGATCTGGCTGTGTAGCTAACTATTACAACATGTACCTGAGCATATCGACTACATGGAGGACGGTAACAGTTATGCAACATAAGTCACCGTTACAGCTCCAACAACACTGTGAACAACGAATGTGCAGCAAATATAAAATATAGATTTAAATGCCAGTTGTCTGTGGAGGCTAACTAGCAGGCTAACTGTGCTAACTCCATTAACGTTTGGGTGTACGCTAGTTCTTGTTTTGACTGGAGCCCTCTGGCCGCCTTACAGTAACCATGCACTGCAGTCAGCAAACGTTACGTGAAAAGGCAACAGTGGAGCAACGCAAACAAGAAGTTGCCTTGAAATGGAAAAAATCCCGCTCCTCACCTTTAAATCGTTGTGAAGCTCCCACAACTCAGCCATGTACTGCTCAGGAGCCCAAAGTCGTCGAACCGGAAAGCATCGATCGAGTCCAGGCAAAAGGAATCAAACACAGAGCAATAGATCGCGTGAGCTGCTCTGCTCTCATCTGGTCTCATCATGGGTTTGAATTACGCGTTCATTTGTTCCTCTCAATTATCCCTTCAGCCTCAAATGAGCCTTATATAATGCAGTATTTTTAACTAAGTTACAGTTTGAAGCAGTTTTAAATGAATATTAATACAAGTCCACATTAACACATAGCTTGAATTTATTTTGGCAACATGTTTAAGGGTGGATCTTGATTCAGCGAGACAGAAAGTATAGGCTATATTTCCATTCTTGCATGACTGATGCTATTTGAACATTTTGGGATGTTGGCTTATTCCAGCATGGCTACTTTCGACACCTACAATCATAGATGAGGTTAATTAATGGAGCAACATTTCTTCTGCACTTATTCGTTAAATTGTGTCTGGCATTTTTTCTATTTAAGTCTCCAGTCAATTGGAAATATCCCAAATGAATATTACTATTATGTGTATTTGTGTGTATCAACAGTTTGGGTTACTTTCTATTTTTGATCTGATAAATTACAACACAAGCAAATGCATGTGCGAGTTGTAGGTCTGTCAATGATAATTTGCATGAGGTCATCCTCTCAGATAATAATATTTTACACCAGCATATAAACAGAGAGCTGCAAGGGCAGGCAGCGCATCCAGCCAATTTGCAGCGGAGTAGAATAATTAATTACTTCGTGAAATTCAACGAAATTCAAAAACACATATCGGGACTGAAGGTGAAACGACCACTGTTTCACTGGCAGCATCAATGAGTGAATGAATCAATAATATGCATATGGCTGATAGAAACAAGTCAATGGGGTTTCCACTAGTGGCTGCTTTTCAGTGCGATTAGGAATCCATCCTGCTTTTTAGATGCAGCAGAAATAATAGTAATTAATGCCTAAGGTTAGCTGAAACATCGTTAATATTTAATTAGGGAAATTATTGGAGCTATAGTTCAGAAATGGAACTATAGATCATCAATAAACACGTTTATGCTTCAAATTCATCCCAACGTTTCCAAAATCCCGCTGTATCTTGCCTGCCCCTATGCTTCCTCCTCTTCTCACTTAATTGCTCTCTCCGCGGCGTTACTTTCACCGCAAGTCAACCATTGTTTATTTATTTTTTGCAAATATAGGCAATCATTTCAGCGGGAAAAGGCGAGTTGAAAACGTTAATTAGTGAGCCCAGTGGCAACGCATCGCGAGAGGCATTGTAATTAAACGTTTAGCTGCTATCTAACATCCTAATGGCTTAAAAAGTCCACTGAGAATGAATATTAAGCGATATACTCTCACTAATGACGACAATTTAAAATACATAATTGCTGATTAGAAACATAAAGCAACGCTGCAAATAGCGTGAAACATTAAATGATTTGTCTCACAGGGTCCCAAACTTTCATGGCAGGCTTAAACATTTTAATAGACTGTCGAGCGTGTGCATTATTACAAGATAATAATAATAATATTAATAATAATAATACTGTGTTTATGGTTGTTATTAGTCTTCAAACTACTACAAATACTTAATAATATGAACACTTTCTCACATTATTTAAAACTTGTATTTCTATTTCATTTTATTTTTGCAGCAAAATTTGTTTTAAATCAAAAGCGAAAACGTGGTTTCACATAAACACGTTGAAATACTGATAAATGTATCAGGCCTAAAGCCAACTGTACGCTACTGGATTTTCTTTAGCCATATGATCACTTGAGCTTCCTATAAAAGCTCCATGTATTAAGTCGTTGCTGCTCCTCTTGGCATCCCAGCCGGTCCGCTTTTTTCTTTCTATTTTTTGTTTACCCCCTTTCCTCTCCGTGACATCATTGTGACTTATTCCCCCCCAGATCACAGAGATATACTGAGGAAGGACTCCTCACCCATGTGCTTCCCTCTCTCCCTATCTTGTCATTTTCAGATTTTTAAGCCACACCCCTGCAGAGAGAGAGAGAGAGGGAGAGAGAGAGAGAGAGAGAGAGAGAGATCCATGACCATCTCCCGGGTGTTTAAAAACTAACTCAGGACAATAGCAGCGAATGAGTGCTAAATTAAATTAATTAGTCCTTCTTGTCAATCTCGGATTAATGGCCAATAGTAGCGGTGCTGCTAATGTTTTTTGTTTTGTTTAACTCCACTCTCCTCTCTCTCTCTCTCTCTCTCTCTCTCTCTCCCATATCAGTGAAGGGGAAGGGGGGCTCATCCCGGCATCCTGAGGGGAGGTAATTTGCACGGATCAAGGGGGCAAGGCGCCGCAAAGTATAAATACTGTGACTTCAATAGAGGATCACCAGCAGGTTCCCAACTCCGCTACCAAAGGAGGGAGGAATTGGCTGAGAAGATATTCTTTATATTTTTTACATTTTCTTCCAGAGTTGGCAGCATCATCTCGCATAGGCTATCGTTTTCAAGGGGGTCGACTTTAAAACGAGCCACACCATTGATGTCTTAAGCTGTCGTGGAGCAAAGGGAGAGAGAGAGTGTGCGTGTGTGTGTGTGTGAGAGTGAGTGAGTGTGTGTGGTGATTTTTTTTTTTTTTAAGAGGAGAGAAGGTAGTGATGGAAGAGCTCACCGCTTTCGTGTCTAAGTCTTTCGATCAGAAAGTGAAGGAGAAGAAGGAAGTGATAACCTACAGGGAGGTGTTGGAGACCGGGTCGACGCGAGCAGGAAGCAGGGAGTCTTTAACTGCGGAGCCCGGGAGCCGAGAGGAGGCTGCAGCCGTCACCCGGAACGGAGCGCTCTCACCGGGCAGAGACACGGACATGCTCGGCCCGGAAAGAATCAGGGATGCCGGGAGCCCCAAACTCATTGACGGTAGGACTGCAATGTTGTGCGCTACTGTAGGCTGCAGTCTTTCTCTACAGCGGTAGCGGACTTGTAGACGAGTGTTTGGCTCATCGAACAGATACGGATCATAACCACGTTTTTTTTTTTATTGGCGAAATGCTGCTAAAAACATCTTCGTTTTAGTTTATGATCCAAGCAGAGGCTACTGCAGGTTTCATCCCAATGGTCGATGTAAGTTGCAGGATGATCTAGATCTGTAAGGGGAATCATTCACCGGTGCTTTCTCAAAGTATCTTAATATGTTTCGTCATGTTAGTTGTTTGCCCGTCAAAATCACCCTCCTTATAGACATATAACAACCATTATGGCTCATAACAACTCCTATCTTTATCAGGTGATTGCAGCTTGGTAATGTCAAATTGCTGTGCAGATTCAAAAAAAGTTTGTATTTATTTGAAAAGGCTCTACTCCAGACCTATGATAAACAACAAGGCCTCCTGTGGCAAAACTAATAACCATTCTATTATAATATGAAAGGACTCAAGTCCAATCTCATGCATTTTTGATATCACACGTTTATGAAAGTATCATGGGGGCATTCTGATCCTTGATTTGCCTTAAAAAAAACGCTGCAGTTTAGCCTGCTTTAAAAGATTAGAAGCCTACACCAATGCACGTTGTATTAATTCATTACATAAGCGTCATTGTCAGTTACCTCCGAGAGCTTTATATATATTTTATATTAATGTTTCAACTAGAAGAAGGCGCATCAAAGACCTGACATGCAGACATCACTGCACATGAAAGGTGGCAATCAAGTCCTGTCATTTCTGTAGTCACCCAGTGCACATAGACGTCTGATTTCAGGTATGAAAGCAGGTCAAACGGATGGCTTTAATAAAAACCTGATGATCTTATATTAAAAAAAAAACAAAGAAAAAAAAGCATCTAATAGACTTAAGGTGGAAGAATTGTTTTTCGTGTTTATCCTCAATAATTCAGTGTTTTTTTTCTTCCTAATTGCATGACGAAAAAAGAGCCAATAAAAATGTGAATAAAGACAGCATAAAATCATACTTTAAACGGTAAATATTTAATTAAATACAAAATACTGTTTTTGTGTTTAATGCTTTCTGTACCGACCAGTTCCAATCGTGTTGATTTATATGTTTACATTTTTTTTATTTTAATATAAATTGAAGCAGCTGTTCACTGTGTTTTATGAAACCCGGACAAAATATGACAACACACAGGACAAGATATCTTAGAGTTGGGTGGCTTGTAAAAAAAAAAAGACATCTGTTCGTCATGGGCAGCGTGGTTAAAAGCGGAACTGCGACAAGCATGTATCAGACATCCAACAGTGGGCACAGCGTTGCATATTTATAAGCAGTTAATAATTAAAGAGCTTTATGTAGCTCTACAAAACATCCGAGGTCTGATAGCTCTGTGATATTTGAGGGCTGGGAGGGCATGTCTTTCTTTCTTCCTTATCATCGAGGTTTTATTTCAATTGGTGAAGATAATCATGTGTGTAGTGCACGTTATTTCAGCTCTGCCTTTATTCTTCGGTGGAGTAGCACATCCGTTAGTTTGGCTCATTTCATATTTTTTTTATGTGTCTTTCCTGTCATCTTTCCATGAGCAAAGACAAATTTATATATTTCGTAAATATGTGAGGATGAAGGCCAATGATGACCACAGACCGGAGGTGAACACGGTTCAGCCTCGTGATGTTGATGTCTCTCTCTCTCGTCTCAGGCAACACGGACGTGAAGGAGAGGAAAGAGGACTCGAAGCCTTTAGAGGACGAGGCACAGACTAAAATCAAACAGAGGAGAAGTCGGACTAACTTCACATTAGAGCAGCTCAACGAGCTGGAGCGGCTCTTCGACGAGACCCACTACCCGGACGCCTTCATGCGCGAGGAGCTGAGCCAGCGACTGGGACTGTCGGAGGCCCGAGTACAGGTAGGACAAGTCCTTTCAACTGGGGGGAGGGAAGGGGGGAGGGAAGGGGGGGCATTAAGAAGAGTATAATAACTATCAACTGTTAGAATAATATTGAGGCAGCATTTATACGTATTTGTTTGGACAAAGTGTTGCGTAGGGCCCTTAAATTTAAGTAAATTATCAAAAAGAAGAAGGAAAATAATTAAAAATTAATAATGATATCACTATGACAATGTGAACGAGTATGGGCTAAAAACAATGGACAAGAAAGAGACCCACGTGCTTAAGTATAACAGATTAATACTAATACTAATAGTAAAAATAATACTAATAATGATAATAAAAAAAACAAAGAATTAGAAATGCTAACATGTTTTTCCCATGTTCTCTATTTTTCCAGGAAGGATTTTCATCCTATCTTCAATCATTTTTGTTATGATAAACTGGATATAATAATAGTCTGATAATATTTTGTTTTATGGAGGTTTAAATGAAGGTAGCCTAAACGTCCACAGACATGCACTTACTAGACTACAGTGCAGGCCTGGATTCAACAAACCAGTTCAAAGGAACCCCCCCATGGGTGTTTGTAGTTTTTAATAAATTGAACAAGATTTCAGAGTTCACCATCAAAATGTTATTTTGTCATAATTTTCTGATCAGATTATATTTTTCCCTCAGCTTGTTTTGATGATTTAATTTGCGTTGATTATCTCAATTATGCCTTTGTTTGTATCACGAGAGTCGATTTAATCTGTATGTCCTAATCCACCGAAACAAATATTTGCCGTCAGTTTTCTGGGTGTATGTTACCAAGGCCCCGTTTTGTCAGAGATGCTGTCGTTTTTCATGGGGACAGACCATCTGCGCAGAAACCCAGTAAGGCTTCAGTCAGTCAGTGAGGGGGGCTCAGACATGCCTTGTGTAACGGGAGCAGGGGGACAATGAACATATAGACATCGCCTCTCATCTGATTTATCAAAAACTCCATAACATCTTATTCCAGACTTTTTTATCCCGTGTAGCTGCGGCTCAGGGGAGGACTGAGCATTTGTCCCCAAACTGAATACGGCGGTCGTAGCAAAAAGAAGAAATCATAAAACCAGCCCAAAAGACCCCCATCCCCAAACTCACCCTTCAACCCCCCCTCAGCCAAAAAAAAAAAGTTAAAGCCAGCTTTTCGCAGGGCTCTCCCTGCCTGAACTGGAATCTCACCAATAAGGCGTATTGTATCCCCAACAAGGAGCACAGCTCGGGGATTTGCATAAATTATGTATTATTTTCAACCCAAATCAAGAGCAGCGCTCCCCCTCTTTCTCTCTGTGAGAGTATTATATCGTTTTACCAGTTGCATTCACAGGCTAAACATGTATTTTGATTTTTTTTAAACATATCTGCCTCAATCAATAACAGCAGAGCATTTGCTTTTATCATCGCGATAAATTATAGCTGAAGCGTGCACAAAAGGACTTCCGATTGACATACACTGTGGTCAATAAATGAAGCCATGTTGACAGACAAATCAATATGATATTTCAATCGTGCTTGTGTGTATATGGAGCTAATGTAAGGCAGATCGCAGATTGACATGCTGTATTGTGGGCTAATTTAGCCCGAGCTTTGTCTGGGAGATTCAAAGCGGATTATCATAGAAATAAATCGTTTAATCTGTGTTCCAAGGCGTTTCTCTGAAATTGACGCTTGTCGATTTCAACAGAAGGAAAAGGAAAAGTGAGCTGCGTCTTTGAAGCGGCTTTTTGGTTGTTGTTGTTGTTGTTGTGTGTGTGTGTGTGTCTGTGTGTGTGTGTGTGTGTGTGTGTGCAAGTGTGTGTTATGCCGGTGATTAGACAAAACTGCGAGGCATTTAAGCGTTTCTCTGACATGGATTTTCCGCAGATAAGGGTAATTAATTTCAGCGGTCATTTAATGAGAGGGAGATATAAGGAGAGAAAGGGGGAGATGCTCTCAGATCGCCTCGCTCTGATGTCCAAAACCGTAATAGCATTGCTGCTATTCGATATGTGAGAGTCCATTCAACTCTTCGGGGACACTAATCCATAGAAAGATGAAACCAACGCTGACAAGGTTATTTATTATAGTCCAGTGGTCCTGCACATTTCCAAACAAGCGTGTTTCTATTCTCCTATTCGGTTTTAATGTCCCTCCTTATCGTGGATTTACTTTCTATTTTCGTTCCCTCTCTGCTCCAAACCCCCCCCCCTCCAACTCTCCCTTGTTGTAGAATAAATGTAATAATTCAAATCTGGGGTTAAGCAGTGCCATTAATATTTCAGTGCTCCGTAGGGATATTGTTTTTCTGCGGTTGTTGTCACTTTGAGAGGAATTACACATGGCCTCACAAGCAGCTGCCAATCAGTGGGTCTCTAATTAATTTCTGTCCCTGCAGGTTTGGTTCCAGAATAGAAGAGCCAAATGCAGAAAGCAGGAGAACCAGTTACATAAAGGTACGCTTTTATCCTGCATGCTCCCACATAAAACAAAAAAACTATATTTCCATTCTAGTATTTTCTATTCTATTCTATTTCAAGGCAACAGCACGCTCGAATGCATGCAGAATCTTTTAATCTTTACGCACGGTTACTATTTGGGACGTGGTTTCATTTTCAGTTAATTAAGCCATCAAACACACTGTGATTTCTTTATTGCCTGTTTATCTTGGTACGTTATTAAAGTTTTCCGCTAACAGCTCGTTATTCAGTACAGTTTACTTCTTTGTGGTTTTTTTGAATATTATCCTCACAATTAGGCTATCATCTGTGCTTTTGCAGGAGTCCTGATTGGAGCAGCGAATCAGTTTGAAGCTTGTCGTGTTGCGCCATATGTCAACGTGGGGGCTTTACGGATGCCATTCCAACAGGCAAGTTACTTTGAAAGCGTCTAGTCTTAAAATCAGACCAATCCCCGGACTGCTGTCTTGGCACAGGCTCTGCCCAAGTGCTATGCTATGAGACTCCAGTTCCAATGTAGGGGGTAACTAAACTCTTATTACCACACCGGCAAAGAAAAACACTGAGCCAACACAGCGCAGCCTGTACAACCTAATTGGAAAATCCCCTCTATTGTTTTATGGCTCATTTATAGGCCTGGTTTACTGGAGCAAGTAAACATATTAGTACTTCAGAGGCCAGGAGTTTCTCAATGTTTTACCATACCTCACACAGAAGTATAGCCTAATGTCCATGGTTTGTTTTTTGATGGTTGTTGTGAGGGTCTGGGCAGAATAGAACAAAAATAAATATGAACACAATGTACATTGCATTACATTTGAGTGAAGTCCAGTCCTCACTTTGAGCACCACTGATCTTGTCTGTTTATTATCTTGTAGGCAAAGGCCCAAGTATTCCCAAAGGCAATGACTTGAGATTAGATTTCATGCTATTGATGTCCAAATAAAAAACTCAAATTTGACCTTTGATTCACAAGAGCTGCAGTAGTCAATAACATCCCTATAACTTTATGCCATCCAGGGATATTGCTCAATGACACGTCAGTAGAAAACCTCGGGGATTGAACCCTGAGGTCCAGCTGAATGATGACACACATTGGTCATTCTGGCTAGTCAGATACAGCAGCCAACAAGTTGAACCACATGTAACAGTGATAGTGAAATGACCCTTTCACACAACACAAAGTTAACGCATGTTCTCCCCCCCCCCCCCCTTCTCTCCCCCACCTGTGCGTCCCGTCCCATAGGATAGTCATTGCAACATGCCGCCCTTCTCCTTTCAGGTGCAGGCGCAACTACAGCTGGACAGCGCCGTGGCCCACGCGCAGCACCACCTGCACTCTCACTTGGCGGCTCACGCGCCCTACATGATGTTCCCCGCGCCGCCGTTCGGACTTCCCCTGGCGACGCTCGCGGCCGAGTCCGCCTCCGCCGCCTCCGTCGTGGCCGCCGCCGCCGCCGCCAAGAACACCAGCAAGAACTCCAGCATCGCCGACCTGAGACTGAAGGCCAAAAAGCACACGGCCGCGCTGGGACTGTGACGCCAGGTGGACTGGGGGACACGAGGCGCCCGCGCGCTACCTGCCACGTCCGCGCGACTGAGAGACGCTGAACACGAACGCTTTCAAAGTGAAGAAAATGAACAAAGTGAGAAAAAATTATCCAAGGACGATATTTATGTTTTCTTTTACAAATGAAGGACGAGTATAACTATACAAAAATATAGGTTATTTATGAGACAAAGAAAAGACAATGAACAAAAAAAAAAGAAGACTGTGACGTGATAGCCTATAACCCAGATGTGATTTTTGGACGCCCAATAAAGTGGCGGATGGGATGGACACCAAGGCTACACGCAGGGTCCTTCTCTGCAGACACGTGGCGGAGGAGGGCGGGACACCCCGAGGAGGAGGAAGATGCAGCTGGGACGGTCGATACTTTGTCAAACAAGGCGAACCATTCTGCAGTTGTTCTGATTTAATATTATATTATTATTGTTTCATTTTGAACCCATATAGAGGCTGGCCTCGTTTTAAAACACTTTCTCTGTAAAAGGACAGAGCGGGAATTCTTTGACAAAACAGAGAAGAAGAAAAAAAAGGACAATATTCGAAGTGCTTTTTCCCTCTTCTGTTTCTTGTCCAAAATTCAAAATGCCCAAGCAGTGTTTGCATGAGTTTGCCTTCACGTATGACGTGATGTGAGCCCCCCCCCCC